TGTGTGTGTGTGTGTGTGTGTGTGTGTGTGTGTGTGTGTGTGTGTGTGTTTCAGAGGGTCTGCAGGAGGTCATTCTGTACACACAGCCGGATGATAAGAGGAAGAACCGCGGCTTCTGTTTTCTGGAGTATGAGGATCATAAGTCGGCGGCTCAGGCGCGGCGCAGGCTCATGAGCGGGAAGGTGAAGGTGTGGGGGAACCCTGTGACCGTGGAGTGGGCCGACCCCGTCGCGGAGCCTGACCCCGAGGTCATGGCCAAGGTCAGTGTGTGAGCATGCACAGCTCTCTCTGTATGTAGTGTGATGTGTGACGATGTGCTGTGTCTCGTCAGGTGAAGGTGCTGTTTGTGCGTAAGCTGGCCACGCCGGTCACAGAGGAGCTGCTGGAGAACACCTTCTCTCAGTTCGGCAAACTGGAGCGCGTCAAGAAGCTGAAGGACTACGCCTTCGTTCACTTCGAGGAGCGAGACGCCGCAGTCAAGGTCAAACCTCTCCTTTTCATTAAGATTTTCACACACTTACTGTATGTGTTATTGCACATGCAACCCTGTCACCGAAATTTCTGAGATGCATACGTACAGTTTGAGTACTGATTTCATTATTTCTGCAGCGACTATTAAGTAAACTTAAAAAAGAAACGAAGATGATGCCGAAATGAGTAACAGGTTTATAGATCTAAGCTCCGTTCTCACCAAGGACGATAACTATAAAGATAACGATGTTAGCATCCACACCGTCGCTTTAAATGCTCCAGCTCGTTACAGCAGGATGGATTCTGATTGGCTGTCAATGGTTGTATCGTTCATCAGCTGGAAAAAAAAAAAATTCTGAAAGTGATTTCTCTGTGTCATTATCGTTTTAGTTGTGATGTGGACATCTCTATAGAATTTTTCTCTGTGCCTTTATCGTTATAGCTGTGGTGTGGACGCTTTAATATTGAGAACGATTTTTAAAACTGTATCTTTATAGTTATTTTTCCTATAGTTATTTATATATTTCCCCCTTCATAAATGTGAGGTTTTTTTTAATCTAAATTATTGCTTTATTTTGTTACGGTAGCATTGGCTTTTCTTTTTCCTTTTTTTTTCTCCTTTTTTTGGGGGGGGGGGGTTTAAAGAGTTTCATTAAATCTGTTAAAATAAAAAACGGGCAATATAATTTTTAAACACTGCCGTGATAAACCCAAGCAGCGTGCATTAAAAAAGAAAAAAATATATATTTACAAATAATAATTATAAAAGCAAATTATAACAAATAAAACGTAACTTGGTTCATCTTTAAGAGATTAAGGCGCTCTTCTTTTTCAGTCACTTTAAGAGAAGTTTTCAACTCATTTTAAATGCCAAAACATATGTATTTGTATTGCTGTCATGCTTTAGAAAGGGCCCGATGATGTCACTTCCTGTTTCAGTAGGGATAGACGTGATGACATCAGTGTTTGTGCATCATTAGGACATCATAAACAGCCTTATGACTGTTTTACCAAATAAAAGTTCTTTAGGTCCAAACAGTTAGCATGCAGATTTTTAATGCATTATGAGGGTTAAAGGGGTCATCGGATGCTCATTTTCCACAAGTTGGTATGATTCTTTAGGGTCTTAATGAAAAGTTACGTTACTATAACGTACTTAGTTAAAATTTCTCAATGGTAGTGTAAAAAACACCCTTTTTACCCTGTCAAAATCAGCTCTTTTCACAGCGAGCCGTTTCGGTGCATGTCCCTTTAAATGCTAATGAGCTCTGCTGACCCCGCC